GCGCCCCTAGTAGTGTAGTATAACCTAGCCAGCTACAAAACGTACTCCTCAACAACTTTGATCATGAGATGTACTACTGCTGATGTGGTAGCTAGTACTGCTAGCTATGTTTGAATTGAATCCATCTATCTACCAAACAATAAGAGAAAAATTGTGTTCGTCGCCACGTACGTACATGCATGCTAATTTGGACTGGACATGCATAGGCGCGAAATTAATAGCGTTGCTTCTCATGTTGCCACCGGCCCACATGGATGCTAATTTGGACTAGACATGCATACGTGCCATCACTGACGACTCCATCCTTACATTGTGGAGAAGTTACGTCCAGCCGGTAAGGTTGCCAACAAGTATGGAAGAAGACAAATCACCGTAGGTAGAGTAGCATAAATGCATGCATCCTACCAATGAAAATAAAAAAGGAAAAGCGTTTGGTTCATTTGTTTGTAGCATGCATAGGGTCCCAGAATCAAGTGGTATGATTCACTGCACGTCCCTCCTTCTACATACTCTATGATTGTTTTTTTGTTATGCTTAATTTGTGTTGCACTCAGGTGATGAACTGAAGAACATGATGGTGATTATACACGTAGGGCTGGCTTGTGTGCCATGATTACTCATTACTGGAGAGAGCAGATGAGCATAACATAGAGGACAAGAAGAATATTCACGGGTCAGCCATGAGTGGCGTGGAGCCCACCGGTCAACCACGGACACCCATCAAGCATATAAAATAATAACATGCCAACTACGAGTATCATGCATGCATGTCCTAATTCCTATACACTAGGCAGGCCATGGAGCGTTCAACGTACGGCAAAGCTTATGGATCGTCTCGTACATGGATCCTAGTTAACAACAATACCTTTTGGTCTTGGTTAGGGCAAACAACATACATCCCCTTTGATTTCCCCAACCAAATCCACATCCCCCTCGCCTTCTCCCAAAACCCCACGAGCGTCCCCTCCCCTCCATTTTCTACACATTTCTCGCCCACTGCACGTACCAATAAAGTTGAGGTTTGAATGGAACTGGACCAAAATACTAGTACGAGCATTAGCGTTTAGTTAGGGGCCGAAAGTTTGGTCAACAAGCTAAGGTACTCATAGGCACATGAAGAAATATTATAATTACATAAACCTCCTAGCTATATTTGGGCCACTGGATTAAACACCCACCGTATGGCCGATGCTCGACGCGTGGTCACACCCGTCTACAGTTTCCCTCTCCTTCCCAACACAACCGCGCATGGTTTGCATCTCTCTTGAATCTATGGCCAGTGAACTCGTCCACCGTTTCTGACGGCTCACCATTGATGTTGACAAAACCTACCACCATATGGTGACCCCCACTCCGTCGACCCACCGTTGAATTTACTTTTTACAACATGCAACGTATGCCTTCGTCGCTGGCCACCAAAAACATAAGTCAGAGTTATGAAAATAAACCTAAGTCTAACTCTACTAAACTCCAATACAATCGTAATCTTAACCTTGTAAGAGAGGAGGGTGGTGACAAATCGCCAACCTTGACATGGATCCAAAGTTGTATAATTGCTTCTCGAAAAGCATACATTTTAGACATGTTCATGTGTTTTGATTATCTTTATATTTATAATGTTTATTGGATACTTGAGGAACATACATGAGATTTGTATTCGAAATTTTTTTTGGTGGTGTTACAATTTGTATATAATGTCCTAGCTAGGGGCACCATAGTCAATACTAGGGTCGCTCATCCGAGGGGTCCAGACTCCACCGCGCGAGGGGGTGTGGGGGGAGAGGACCCCACCTCGACCCTCTCCAGGAATGAGGCCCATTGCTGGGTTATGGCCTTAGCGGTAGCGGCTAGGGTTTCTTGCGGTTCTCGGGTCACCATAGGGGTTGAGTATGTATGATTATTATTTACAGATTTATAAATTTTCAATTTGATGTTCGAGGTCGATATGCATTCGTGGATTTTTGTTGAAAAGTATTTTTGATAATGTTGCTATTAGAATTTGTTGTTGTGTTGGGTCAAAGTTGTAGATGGTGGTTGTCCAACAAACGTCAACTTTTCAAGGAGTAGATACAGGGAGGGAAAAAGTCCATTTTAAACCCTGAACTTGTAGACGTTCGGCGAAACAAACCCTCAAGTCGAAATCCCGGTCGATTGCACCCTAAACTATGCAATCCCGGTCTAAATTGAACCTTCGGGTCCTTTGGATGACCGGGATCGGTGGGAATTCGCTGAGGCCGCTGCTATGCTCACCCCTGCTCCCGCTGGGCCGGCCCACTTTAATTTTTTTTAGAAATAAAAAAATGCAAAGGGGACTACAGCCTGCTAGCCCGGACCGCTTTTGTTTTTTTGTTAGAAAACAAAAAGAAGCGCACGCTCGTAATCGAGACCGATGCTGGTGGTTGGAACGACGCTACTAACCAGGGACACTACATACGTTGTGTTAACTTACTCCCTTTTTCTTCTTTCTTTTGTTTCCTTTTTCTTTCGTTTCGTTTTGTCTTTGTTTTTATTTTATTTTTTAGTTTCCTTTTTAAAAAAATCATGATTTCTTTTGAAATTGACGAACCTTTTTCCAAATTTGCATATTATTTTTTAATGCCATAAATTTCTAATTTTTTAAAAGCTCGAGTTTTTAAAACTATATAAAATCCGTTTTACTAGGAAATAGCAAACGAAAAAAAGAACCTTGTGAACCAGAATTTAAAAAGATTTTTTTTACGAATTTTGAACAAAATGTTCATGGATTTGAAAACTTCCATGAAAAAAGATGTTTATCACAAACGTCCATGAATGTTCAATGTTTATTCGAAAATAGTTCAACATATATTACAAAAATGTTCAATGCGTATTTTCAAAAACCAATCGTTGCATATATTCATATTTGTTTTAAAAAATGTTTATCACATAATACAAATGTTCAATGCATATTCAAAAATTGTTCAACACATTTATTTATAGTGTTTCGAAAATGTTCGGTGCATAATATTCTCAAATGTTCAAAAGAAGTTTGGAGCATAATGTTTCGTGTCGTGAATCTATCAGTTGAACTCACTAGTTTGGTTGGCAAATTCCAGCAAATAACAAGATTGAGGTCGCGAGTTCGAGTCGCTCCCGTAGAACTTTTCCAGAATTTTTTTTTGCGCGCCTACTATTCAATAGCTCCAAATGGGCCGGTTCACGAATTTAAGAAAAAACAGAAAATGAAAAATAAAATGAAAAGAGAAAGAAAAAGAAAGGCTAAAAGGAGGAAAAAGAGAGCAAGTTAACACAACGCAAGTGGTGTCCTTGTGGTTTGTTGCTTCGATCAACAACAAATGATCTTCGGTTCGAGCCACCACCACGCGGTCATTTTTTTAACGAAAAAAAAACTAAAGCGGGCTGGTTTAGCGGGGAGCTGGGTACGCGCCCCACCACGCGCTCATTTTTTTAAACGAAAAAAAAACTAAAGCGGGCTGGTTCAGCGGGGAGCTGGATGCGCGCCATTCGGAATTTTTGTTCTTGAACGAAAAAATACTCCAGCGGGCCGGCCCATCATACGAATCCCAGTTCAAACGATGCCATGGTTTGATTTAGACCGGGATTGCATAGTTCAGGGTGCAATCGACCGGGATTTCGATTTGAGGGTTCATTCTGCCGAACTCTACGAGTTCAGGGTTTGAAATGAACTTTTTCCTACAGGGAGTATATGCTGGCACGTAGGACCCAACATGTGCCCTAGAGAAACGGGGAGAGGAGAGGAGAGGAGAGGGGAGGGGAGGCAGGGCACGGGCATATATTGGGCATGATTGCTGGCCGGGTTGGAGGCCCGGGTGAGAGGGAGGCGCCTCAAAAGGCGGCCACGCCATGGAAATGGGGTTCTTGTAGCGAGGACAGAGGGAGATTTGTACGGGTACAAGGAAACCCATCATTCCATTCCATTGGCATCCCATTTCCAGCGAGCCAGCAACCATTGATCCACGGGCAAGTACAGCACAGCACATCCTACTAGCAAGGCTTTTCGACAAATCTCTCGGATTCCATGCCTGCCTTTGAAACTTTGTCCTCCTCCTCCTCCTCCCCCTCTGCTGCTTCTCTGCGTGACACACATTGGTGCGGTGCATGCCAGGCGTACTATGTCTAGAAGAAGCAGCAGCTCCCGCCCTTCAACTCCTACCCACCCAGTCACACTACACAGACAAAAGAAAAGAAAAGAAAATACAAGGCAATTACCGATACTAGTAGTAATACATTTGGCTGCAACTGCCATATAGTATATGTTACATTAATTTGGTGGCTGGGTGCAATGGCGAGTGATGCACTATGTACGTAGTGATATGAAAGTGTAATGTGGGCACCTAACATAACGTGGGTTTCCAGAAAAACGAAGAGGGGCAGACAGGGGAGGGGCAGCGTGTGTTTCTCTTTGCTTCCCTGCTGCTTGATGGTGCGCCCATCCGAGGCCGGCACACAGGCCCCCCACCCGGATTCAATGGCTGGGCTGCTGCAGAATATGGAAAAAAAAAGGCAGCAATGCCAGCTGCCACCTCCAAGTGCCGAGTACTGCTGCTGGCGCATTTTTTTTCCTTGATTAGCACCAACAAGTAATTAATCGCCTGGGGCAAATGGCAATGGTCCCCCTTGAATCTGGAAGGAGTACGTACAACTCAAGACAGGGACGGAGCGGAGTGGAGTGAGAAGAGATTCATGGGAAAACTGGCTTGGCTGGCTAGCTGATAGGCTAGCTGACTGAGTACGTTTTCCCATGCATGCTACGCTACTACTAGTACTCCTCTCTCGTGGCGAGGCCAAGGCAGAGTGGTGGTCATCGAGAGAGAAGCGAGCGAGCAGAGCAGTCTTGGCAATGGCAATGGCCCTCTGCCCAGTCCCCAATCATCCTTCCCCCTGACCGCCGGACACCCCATCATTGCTTCCTCATACACCACCACACTCGCCTCCTCTCCGCTCCTCTCCGTCCTCTATATATAGGCTCATCCTCTGCTCCAGCTCAGCCTCCATCTCCCATGCACCACCATCACCACACTCTGCTCTCACCGCTCCGGCAAACACACACACACACAACACTTGAGTCGGCGGCAGAACCAGCCATGAACGGCTTCTACTCGTCCATCGCCCACGGCCTCGACGCGCTCCACGGCACGCTGGCCTCGTCGCCGGACGCCGCCTTCATGTCGGCGCCCTTCCTCCAGCAGGCTGCCGCGCTGCTCCGGTCGCTGCACTCGCAGCTCGTCCACCTCGTGCAGCGCCTCCACCTGCCGCCAGGGGAGAGCTGGCTCGACGAGTACATGGACGAGACCTCCCGCCTCTGGGAGGCCTGCCAGGTCGTCAAGGCCGGCGCCTCCGCCCTTGACACCTACTGCGCCTCCGCCGCCCGTATCGACGCCGCGCTCGACGACTGGCTCTGCAACCCCAACCCCCACACCGCCCGCCAGGTACGCTCCTCTCCTCTCCTGCCTCCCTATGCGTGCATGCTCACTTGTTCACACCCATCGGCTCATCGCCCATTGCCTTGTTGGCCTCCATTGATCACACCAAATGCGTGCAGGTGATGCGTGCGATCAACGCGCCGCGGCGGCAGGCCGTGGGGCTGGAGCAGGAGAACCGGGCGCTCGCGGAGACCAGGATCGACCCGGCGTCGCTGCTGCTCGACGACCGTTCACCCGTGGAGTTCAAGCTCAACGCCTTCAACGGCTTCCGGGGGGTGCTCTACGCGCTGCGCAACGCCAGCTCCTTCCTCCTCATGCTCCTCGTCTCAGGGACCGTCTCCTGCCTCCCGGACCTCGCATGCTGCGCGCACCCATTCCGCACCTCGGGCGCCGGCTACGTCTCCTCCATGGGCCGCCTGCGCCAGCGTGTCGCCGAGGAGATGGAGGCGGTGGCCGGCGAGCACTCCGGCTCCGGCATCATGATGTACGAGTTCCGGCAGGCTAGGGCCGGCATTGAGAGCCTCAAGGCAGAGTTCGACAGGGTCGTCGCCATGGGGTACGGCGACCCTGGCGAGATCGCCGAGAGGGTGGAGATCATCAAAGGATGGGTCGGGATGCTGAGGTCAGGAGCCGAGGGCGTCGTCGGCGAGCTGGACGACTTCTTCAATGAGATTGTGGAAGGCAGGAAGATGCTGTCGGACCTGTGCAGCCATCGCTGATCCAAGCTCACAATCTCTACTTCTGCAGCAGCTAGCTGAAAGCCTGAAACAAACAGGGCATGGTAGATAGTACAACAAGGCTAACAAATTAGAAGAAAAAAATGTGGGTGTTCTTCTCTCTTGTGGTTGGGTAATCTAATCTAGCTGCTCTCTCTAGTCTAGCTATCATAGCAGCTAGTGTGTCTATACATATGTCCTGCACTGGAATATCATCATGCCTGTATTCTTCCTAAGCAGAGCAGGGCAGCAGTGGTAGTGGCAGGCAGTTGGTGCTTAGGCCTATCTATTTGTCAGAATTAGAATCAGAATATATGTCCAAGTAATTTTTAGGGCATCGATCTTAGAGGATGAATTGATGATATAATAGTTGATGGTGAAAGGAAGAATCTGCATCGGAAAAGGAAAGCAGCTCTTTGCCCTTTTCTCCAACTGGAAAAGTTCTGTGGAGATGTGGGCAGCTTGTTGGCCAGAGACAAAAAGAGAGTTCTATAAGGTGTGTTAGAATGAGCCCTTGTGCTTGTCATCTTTTACAACTTCTTTTTGTTCTTTGGCGCTAGGCTAATCACCTTCCTTATCATTGATCACTCCACTAGCTGCCGCGGCAATTGGCAATATGATCTCCAACAGCGCCCATCGTTTTGGTTGCACAATGATGGGGTGACCTTCTGGAATCCGAACATGATGATCCCCCGAACTTAAGAGACATAGGTTCGAGGAAAAGGAGCAGCAGCTGCAATGCAAAATTGATGGATTTGAGCTGCTTTGCAGGGTTATACAGTAGAGAAATGATGATAAGCAGCAGCGTAAACCATGTTCCATACTTTGGGGCAAAGCTGACCATGAATCAACCAAAACGAATCACTTATACCGAAATGGTGGCACCAGTCACTTTTCGCTAAAGTAGGATCTGCGGCAAAGAACCAAGAAAACATCAGTGCCATGTCACAGTTATATCTATCTTAAAAAAAATTATCAATTCACCATCAACTGATAAACAAATGTATGTGTTAACGTTCTCTAAAAAAGGCAAGTGTCTAACGAAAAATCTAATGCAACCTTCCTATTTAGCTTTCCAGCTACTGGAAGAGTTTCATGACTCCAGAAAAGAGTTGAAAGCAGAGTTTGCAGAGCAGAGCAATCACACTCACACCTATGATGAATAGGTACTGGTTACAGAAAATCAACACCTAATGGGAACTTCACAGAGGCTAAGAGTAGCAATTGCAGACATTGTTCTGAACACAAACAGTATCGCAGAACACAGAACTGAAGCATGGTATCAGATATAACAAATCGAAACATGTATGATACCAAACTCGGTCCTTATTACACTCCTAAGTTCAGATTTGAAAATATGGTGAAATCAGAAAAATCAGTGAAACTACGGATCAGTGATGCTAGGATGAACATCATTACACACATTAGGACCTTGTCCATACAATCGTTTTGCAACTTCCTATGCTCCCCGATGACAGGACTTGCATACATGCAATCATGATGAGCCACTCTGAAATGTTCTAAAAGTCCTCCTCTGGTCATACTCTTACTGCTAGTGTTTGCATGCCCTCCTGCAAAAGGAAAAAGTAGAAAAGGGGCACATGCCAGCCTAAGTCGTGTGGGTGTGGATTATAGCTTCCTTGACTGATGATGGAATGACAAACAATTGCCTTTTGCTACTCTGTTCTTAAGGGCGGCAAGTGTCAATAGCTTTGTATATTGTGTTTAAGTTAACTGAGTGAAAATTTTGGCCTACTGCAGATTACAGCTGAAGGGAAATTGCAGCCAGTTTCAAGTGGCGCACTAACTTCTGGAGAAATGTGCTATGGTATACTTAAATCGATACAGCTCATAGATTCTGCAACAAGTAACCTCTGCTGGAAAAGGAATTGAGGCTTATTTTCGAGCTTTGCCCATGCATTGACTCCAGAAGTCATAACGCAATGCAATCTTTTGTCATGAAAAGAAAATGTCTAAGCATGACTCTTAGGCACACTCTACAACACACGATTGCTTAACAGTAAGACATGGGCCATAAGTTTCGCCAGAATATATGGACCATCATAATATGGACTATTTTAACAGCAAGGAAAACATCTAAATGACGAAGAATTATATAGAAAAGCACAACCAACAACTTCAAAACTTTCAAGAAAGGTGAGCTTAAAAAATTGCCAGGGGCGAGTACCTTCAAACTTCAGCATGGCTGCAAAGTCAGCTGCGCAACCAAGGATGCATAGAATTTTTATCTAATTAAGAATCAAACAACCGGTACAAAATAATTGAAAATATATTAACTCTAAAAGAGCATGGCAATTCTTGGCCATTACCAATCAAACTACATAAACCACCACTCCAAATGCTGTATATGATATGTGTATTAGTAAGCAGACTTGATGCAACGAAAGATAAGAATGCACTTGACATGAATCATCAATGAATCACTACAATCCCCGCAAAACAAATCATTTCAAAAATAGCCACTGCCAGATTACAGTATGTGTGCTAGTAGGCAGAGTTACGCAAAAGAAACAAATCAGGAAGGTTAATATGAACCAACTCACCAAAGTCTCGCATGTTCATTACAGGAATCTCCTCGTGCCGACGTTCAGTGTTCAGACCTATGAATAGCAGACACTAGCTGTTAAATTTTAGCCATCACACGCAAAGCTCTTGCGATCAGTTGTTCAGTTATCCGAGCAAGGAAAATAACAGTATAATTATACTCCAACATGGTAATTCTCCCTACTTGACCTATTAAAATAACAGAATTTGATTCTAGAAAACAAAATGTAGCATTACATTAGTACAGCCCTGATCAGCGCAGTTTGTAATGTCTAAAAGGGGTGAACTAGCAGGTTAATTTTAGGAGCAGTGAACTGCTTTATAACATTAAATATTTTCTTTTCACAAATATAGAAGAAAAGTTTAGCACATAAAACAACCACCAAAATTAGGTACATCACTAGGTAGCTACTCATGATCCAGAACAAATGACAACTGGCTTCTTCTCCTGTGAGCTACTTCCTGAAAACAAATGAAAGACAATTGCACTGTCTCTTTGCTATCACATAAAAGAGACTTGGGCATAAATAGAAATTACGACAAAATTCCAGAAACAGACTATACAGAACAAACAAGTGAGGGATGATCTCACCCCTTCTAATGACTCAAAACTGACTTGTGAGAGATAGATAGCAATATGCATCAACCCAGTAGATCTGCAAAGTTGTGAAGCAATAAAAAGTGATTGGCAATAATCTACAAATAGACAATGTCCATTAACAACCAAATTTGCACTTCAGGATGTGCAATGAGATCAGGAGGCACTTAACTTGCTCCTTTGCTTTCCATGTTAGCAATTATAGTGGAGAAATGAAGGAAAAATACTAATCAAACTTATGAAATTTTAAAAGAGGCTGAAAGTCCTCAGACAGTGAGCTGCGTTGGACGCTAAGAACTAATTTAGCAAGAAGAAAATGCTTCAGTCTCATAGGTCCAAAAATAATCATATCAATTTTGTAAATTTCACTATAATAATTGTGAAATTCACAATTTTCATTTGTATAGGTACATGTACTGTGGACTTCACTTGCCCCAGCAATCTGCCTAAAAATTGCAAACTTCTGGAAAGATCAATAGTGAGACCTTCATATGCACACCATTTTACAAAGGGAAACTTAGCCAATAACAACAACAACAAACGGATAGGCTTCAAAGAACTGTCAGAGGAGTCTGGACAGAATTAGGCACATGCCTCAGCTGAACAGAACTAGATTCTTGCATCAGCCTCAGTTGGATGCTGAAGCAGGTTATCGCCATTGTGGGCTTCTGCCAACTTGTTATTGCTGTGACCAAAGGATTTGTATGGCCCAGAAGAATTCTCAGGACTCCAAGTATCTGGAACTGCTAGAAAGTACTTGCCCATGAACTTTCTAAACCTTTTCTTGTAATCCTTGGGAGAAATTACAGTTGGTAAAACATTCTTCGGTACCAAAGAAGACTTCGCCCATGTCTCCAGTTGCTTGTCCCAAGTATATTGCCTCAAATAATCAATAATGCCAAACACAAGTTCATTCTTTTGTTTGTCCACTCCAACGAGCAGAGAATAGTCCATAACGTTAACCGACTGCAAGTACAATAATTTTGTTAAGACATATTAATATGAAAGTATGATGATTACCTTAAATTGCAAGATTTGCATTATACATACAGTCAGAAAAGATGTGTCATTCCAGATTGCGCGCTGCAAGAGATGTTTTGTTCTTCCACCAATATAGATTGGAGATACATTCATGTCCTCCACAAAGTTCTGATCCAAGTAAACAGTGTCAGGGTCATTTGAGTTGGTGATGTGTCGTGAAAACATAGCACCTTTAAGATCATAAATCCGTGAAACGTTGTGCCCAAACATAAGATTTTCCATCACCATCAGATCCATCTTTATCTCTTTGCCATGCCTTATCTGCTTAACCTGAAACAGCAGAGTTTTAGAAAAAATAGTAATAAATGGAAGGAAATAAATTGAAATGGAACTCTAGTTGTTGAAGTAAACTACCTGATAGATTCCTAATATTTTGGCAAGGCAAGTTTGGCTTCCAGTGTCTAAGGAATGGTAAACATGCTTGAAGTAATCAGGGGCAAATTTTATGAAGGATTCAAATTCTGTCTTCTTGATTTGCTTTATAATGAACCTGTCATCCAATGTCTTCGCAAATAAAGCTTTACTCTTTCCACCTTGAGCATCCCACTTCTTACATCGGCTTAATGAAGTAATATATGCAAGCTCAGATGGGCAGCACTTTCTTCGAAGGATGTAGAATTGATTAGCATATATACTAGTAACTGAATATTTGCCTCTGAGAGATACTTTTCCGTTCACAGGGATTTCTGGATGCACCAAGGATAATAAAGGCGATGTATCATAACCAGAAAGGTCGCCAGATGAATATGACAAAATAGAAGATGAAATGCTTGCTTCAGAATCTATAGATGACCATGGT